GAATTTTTTGAAACATTCAAAATAATTTGTCAAACAGGGGTGATTTTTTTCTTGTGCCAAATATATGTTTACCATACCAAATATTTTTTTTAGCTCAATTATATGCCATTTTAATTTATATTTCCAGAACTTTTGTTAGAACCCTTGCACATGCATCAGGTTGTGCATGTGCTGGCTCTGCACAAAGCAGCCAAGTACCTGGTAAATACTTGTGTCAACCAGTTTTGGAAGAAAGTGGGTAGGACAATTTTTCCTTCAATAACGTTTAAATCTGAACATCAAGTACTTATTCATGAGTTATTACCACATTTACCCCCATGTGTATCTGACAATGAGTATTGTAGGGAAACAGAAAATTCTGCTCTAGGAGAATCGCATCAGAAAGGCTCCTGCAGGCTGTTCTGCCCCCTTTCCTCAGGTTTTCTGTATTAGCCAGGGCATTGTGAGAGTTTAAATGAAGGGAAACAGCTGTTACTCTGAATGAATGGAGTCCTGGAAGAGGTGATGATGAATCCTGCAGAAAACTTACTTAGGAAGTTAGGAGGAACTTGAACATTTACTGACAAGAATAAGAAGTGAATAACCTCATCAGCCTTGCAGTGCTCATGTGGAAGGAAGTACAGTAGTACATTGAGTGAGTATTGAAGTACAGTTCTGTACATCTTCCATGCTGGCATTACAGTATATGCATTTCTCCCATGCACATGATGACTTCAATAGGCAGTATGACTGAGTTGCTGGGTACATCAGTTGCCCAGGGGTTTAAGCTCTGTATTCAAACTAGGAAAGAATCTGTAAAGTTATTTCTTAATCTGACATTACAGAATGGTGATAAATGGAAGAATATTAATTTTTCCTGGTTGAATTTGGGAAAATTGTATGGTGTTTTGTCTTCCACTTTTAAGGGTTTCACATTCATGATGGATGGCTTGTGTAGGATTTGTGGTTTGATACTGAAGAGGACTGTTTCCCAACCCATGGTTCACAGACCAGTATCTGCCTACAAGAGATTTTGCCAGTCCATGGGAAATTTTCTTCTGGATGATGAATTTCTCATTATCTGTTATCTTTATCAGAGATTTTGGATTGAGACTGTTCGTTGAACTTATCTTCTGAAAATATAAAAGCTGACCTTCTTCCTAATAACATGTGGAAGGAGTATGTTGTCCCACAGTAAAACAGATTACCAGGCCTAAAAATGCAGTTCAATGTTAGGAGGAAATGATTTGGCATGGGGCTGCAATGCCAGACGTTGTTAGGTATTAATTCTGGAGGAGAATATGCTACTTTTCAATGCATTTCTGGAATGGCTTTGTTTGTATGGCACTGATAGAAATTTCCAGAAATGTTCTTCACACACTTACTTGCCAACAATCTTTACAGGGATCACAGGATCAACAAAGAGAGTTTTAGGATAAAAGCAGTAAGCTAAAGTAATCACAATACCTGGTTTGCTGCCAAGGCCAATTTCTCTTCAAATGTTTTTAAGAATAGAATTACACAGGTTTTCACAATGATAGAATTTGAATGAACAATTTTCAGTCTTTCCAGAGCTCAATGCATGAAGAACTTTAAAATTGAAGTGAAGTTGGTTTTGTTGCTTTGGGAGGCTTTGGTGTTTTGCTGATGGTTATTGTGGAGCTGTTTTTTGGTCTCCAGTTTTGGCAAGGTTAATTAGGGTTTTGCATGTTCAGTAATTTTTGTGTGCCTGTGGGGTTTTTGCAACCTATTCTGGTCCCTTACACCAGGTTCCACTTGCAGTGCAGCAAGTCCCCCCCCCCCCCCCCCCCCCCCCCCACCCCCCCCCCCCCCCCCCCCCCCCATTTCAGGCTGCCACCATTTCAGCACCCTTCCCTCTGCACCTAATCCTGTTTTAACAATGCCTGTTCTTCAGCCATTCTGTTAGCTCCTCGCTAACACGTCCTGGAAGGATTCAGGAAGAGGAGCAAAAACATTTTCTCCTGCAGAAAAAATCGTGGGAGGAGCATCAATATTTACTTTCTACGTCAGATCCAAGAGTTTATCACACGCCAACAGAACTCTCTGGCAGTGAGACTTAGTCTAATAGTTCAAGAGGGAATCTACTATAACTTTTGATGGCGCTGACTCGGAAACAGGAAGTCTTTTCTATATCTATACTAGCATCAATTTTTTTTTCTTGTTGTGCTTCCAGGCTTGTACCAAGATCATCTTTTTAAAAAATTGAAATGTTCATTTTTGTATTGTCAGAAAAAGAAAATTACTCTTTAAAAATTTGAACAGTCAATTGAAAGTCAGCTTTTCAAGAAGCGCATTTCAAACACCCTCCCATCTTAATTATCAAACATTTTACATATCTTCAAAGTTTGGGGAAAATTTTACACATTGTTTTATTTTTCAATAGTTTATAACAATTCTTCTGAGCTGAAACAGAGAGAACTGCAATGTTTGATTGAATATCACTGTGAACATCATGTTTCACTGTGATGATCTTGTGAACATAACGTATCAATTCATTCAAGTGATTATAATTTTAGCACAATTTATCGAAATTATTAGTAAAAAAAATTTAACACATTACAATAATGCATTTCAATATATTTGTAACAGTCTTTTCTTTATCTATACTTGTATCAATACATTTTTTTGTGCTTTCAGCCTTGTATGAAGATCATCCCTTTAAAAAATTGAAGCGTGTTCATTTTTGCATTGTCAGAAGAAGAAACCCACTCTTGAAAATTTCGAACGAGTCAATCGAAAGTCCGCTGCTCAAAAAGCGCATTCCGATGCGTCATTCGGCAGAACCGCGCCGTTTGTTGACTTTATTCAAGTCTACCATCAGTATTGGTTGATGATGGGGTACACACAGGGGAAATATTGATTTTTCTGTCAACAGTGGAAAAAGAAATGCACATACGACCCGCTCCAGACACGATGTTACCAGCTAGAATTTGCAGGCTAGGCGCCTATAGGAAAGAAAACAACCACTTCACTCGCAAGAAAGGGATTTTACTAAAGAATTCACCAACATTTTCCTGGACGCTCTACTGAATGAGTTTCAAAATTGACTACATATAAGTACAGCAAAAGATCTCTTCGTACCAATTCAAATCATGAGTATTGCTAGCGTGACTTAATATTACGCGAAAAACATCTGTTGGAGAGGATATTATTTCCAGCCAAATATCCAGGGCACATTTTAGGTGCAGGTAAAAAAAAAAGGCATGAGTTCTTCATCTGCCTTTTTCCTCAAAGTAATGAACAAAAAATGTCATAGTTGGGTATACATTTTAATTAACACATTTTTATTAACTTGCTTTCTTGTCCCTTTGTTTGTCCGGATCAAATTTTGCAACTCAGATTTTGCTCACAGAAGAAGTGAAATACAAATGAAATAGATGCGCACCATGTTTAAAGTTATTTTTTCCTTTTTCAAAATGTGGTTTTTTAGATTAATTTTTTAATCTACTAAATTTTTCAAATACGTTTGCAAGGTAAGGTTTGCATTAGATTTGATTTTAATTGGAAATTTTGGACCAATTTTGACACAAGTGCATTTTAAAAGAAAAAAATAGTTTGTAGAGGAAATAATGGAGAATTTGTTGAATTGAATGTAAATTCATGTCTAAATTAAATTTTGGTTGGTTTAACTTTTCAAAATACAGTATAACCCCCAAAACATGAAGATATCTTGACATGCAGACAATTTGACAAAGGGACATTTATTTTCCAATAAAAAAGGCCCAAAATGTGGAAACTCACCCAACATGTGGACATTGCATGATAAAATTGCCAATAATTTCCAGGAAAATTGACATTTATCAGGCTGAATTGCAAGAAACATATATTTCCAAGCCTAAGATCTATGCCAAAAAAATTTCCTATTTCCCCATGCATTCAGCTAATTTAAAAGAATACATCCAGCATAGAGGGACTTCCATCTCTCTCTGTGACTTGAATTCTACTTTTACGGATGCCAACATTTCAATGTACTGTACAGAGGTACAATATTCAATGCTCAAGATGTTCTTATTGCATTGAAAGATAATCAGTGAATCAATTTCAACTGGCAGACAATTGTTTTCATGGAATACTGATGAATATTTCTTCCATAAAACACCATTAAAATTATATAATGTAAGTCTTTGGGAAAATTAGGCTCAACTTAGGGACATTCTGACTTAGGGACACTCTTGATGCATCAATCATTTATGCATCTCAGGGTCTCACTGGTATTTTACTCATATTTCAAGTGACCATTGAGTTATATTGTCAATAACAGGTATTGGTGATAAAATTCTGTTGAACATTTTGACTGAAGAACCCTGGGGTGCATCATACTGGAGGGTGCAAGGCAATCAAGTACATACAGCTTACAGTCAACCCCTGCACAACTGACTTAATTTGTGCAACAGACTGGTCTGTTAAGTGAAAAGTCTGCTATGCAAATTTGCTATGTAAAACAAGCAACATTACAACCAAAAGAACTGGAAAACGCAACGCACACACACATTCACAGAAGTAATCATGTGTTTTATATTCAAATTAAGTTGGGAATGAAGGTGGGACCTGAGGGACTCATGTCCAGCACTGGTGGTGCACACTTCTACAGACTGAAGTCTACTATGCATATTTGTCTGTTATGCGAGAGGAAAAACTGCCTCCAGATTCCATAGGCAGTCTGCTATGAATAAATCTGTTGTGGGGGAGGGGGGGGGGGAGGTTTACTGTACAGTATATCCTTCAAGAATGAGACTTTACACATTCTTTTCGAAATGAAGATCAACTAAAAATGAAAAATAAACTAAGCAAGCAATTCATGAAAAGAAATTCCGATAATTGCTCTTCATTCTCTGGCCATTGTCCGGAAAACAAGAGCATCAAGGGTGAACTCTGCGCAAGAAAACCGCTCATGTAAGCTTCAATCCTGCGCTTAACCACGATAGCAAAACAAAAAAACAAAAAAAGAATAAAAACGCTCCCATGGACTTGCACGCGCGAAAACGCCGATGAAATCGACGCGGAGACAGATTCGAGCAAAAGAAACTGCCGCGATACGACGATTCAGTTTCCCAGCGCAGCGCGTCGGTAGAACACCATATAGAAATCCTTCCAGTGCGCATGCAGCCGACTGCGAAAAGTTTACAAACTCGAGAAAATAAGCAACGCGGAAGAATAAATTCGCGCTTGCGAGGAATATGAGATCGAATCCGCGGAAGTTTGCGTCGTCGCGGCAATCGTCATCGTTGCTCTTATTGCTGCTTCTGGTCGTGCTGGCATCTGTCGATGGGAAATCCACTGTTTCAACAACCCCAAAGTCGTTAAAAGTTGACCCTAAAGATGATGCAAGGCCGTTGTGTGAGCTGCATGATGGGCGTTCTACCTGCAAATGTCGGCCGGGTCTCACAGTGAGTATAGACGTCAAGCTGAGGGTTGGTTCATAAGTTCTGAGATTTTTTGAAATAGATCCAACAGAGTTTTCAACAATTGAATACAAAAAACCTTTTTTTAAACTCACATTACCCCATCATTTGGCAACACTTGAGTCCCATTGTTCAACATACTCTTTGTTAACAGTGGCAGAAATGGAGATCTGTTTTTTTATTGAACACTCTAGCTGTGACTTCTGACTGTTCCTCAAACTTTGGGGAGCAACCTGAAAGGTATTGATTTTGAGGACATAAGAGCTGCATCATTTGCTGTCAAAGAACACTTCAATCAACTACCAGACCTCCAATTTTGGCACAGTTTCAATTTTATGGTGAGACCCTGAGATGCAGACATGATTGGTGCATCAAGAGTGTACCTAAATCAAGTTTAATTTTCCCTTACACTTACATTATAAAATTTTTAATTGGTGTTTTATAGACATAATATTCACCATAATTCCATGAAAATGAAAATTGTCTCCCAATTTAAACTGATTCAATCAAAATATTTCAACGCTATATGGACATTTGGGGAATTGAATACTGATACATATGTACAGTACTTAGCAATTTTGGCATTCTCTGTAAAATTAACATCCATTTGAAAAAGAGAGAAGGAAGTCCCTCTATGCTGGAGTTTATTTTTTTAATTAGCTAAATGGATAGTAAATTGATGAGAGAATGCCCAAGACCTTTTGTGACTTGAATTTTAGGGTTGGGAATATACAATATATATTTCTTGTAATTTTGACTGAAACTTATTTGCAATTTTATTACAAAATGTCCCTATGTCAAGTCAGTGTCCTCATGTCAGGCCTTTTTATTATTTTTTTATGGGAAAACAAGTGTCCCTATTTCAAATTGTCTGCATGTTGAGGTGTCCGCATGTAGGGGTCTCACTGTTTTTATTGAATGTAAAAAAAAATGCATTGAATTTGTCAGATCAGTGTTGTCAAATGATGGAACTATGGAAAATAAATCTGTTTTGGAATTTTTGGAGCTCCATTAAATTTTTTTTCAAAAAGTTTCAGAACTTATGAACCAACCCTGGTTTAAAAAAAAATAAGCATGAGCTTGGTAAAAATAAGTGCGTTCCAGGAGATCACGATAGGAGGATCACCAGGCAGAGAAAATATTCGCGTGGGAAATCGGACAGTGGAAATGCGCATTAAAAATTGCACATCCATTCACATCTTGGCGAATGGGTTCGAAGCGGCAAAGAAACTCAGATCGCTTCACTTTGTCAACGTTGACAAACTCGTGTTGGAGCCTTACTCATTCGCCTTTCCTCGCATCGGAACCGATGAAACGCCCGCAGAGTAAGTTCATATTAATGCGTTCAAATGAAGCCTTGTATATGATGTACGGTGTATTAGTGAAATGCTCAACAGATGACTTAATCCATTCTACTGTATATAGACCGAGTACTCTTTCCTCAAAAGTTCTTTTACGAATTAATGTTAAAACGGAACGATTCATTGATCATACAGACCATCCAGAAGAACTGCTACCGGGTAAAGTACAGTTGCTTATTATTTGCTCACGGAAAGGGCGATCATTCCGGGTCTCCGATAGAATCTAGATTACTTGGAACTTGGTGAAGTAAGATATGTAAGACATTCATGTGCCGCAAACTCTTCGGCACTCTTGAATCTGACAGACTACAAAAGCGCAGGCATCACATAGTTGCATAGTTTACTATAGCTAATTTGCATGATTAATTGAATTGAGCAGAATGGCTAGTAGAAAAAAAATATGCAAACCCCGATTTAGTGCCATCATTTGTCCCGACACAGTATGTGGCACTAAGTGTGAGTGGCACTAGAAGAAAGTTTATTTATCTGCTGCTGCTGTATATGATGGGTAAACAGCATTTTTTCAAAAATGTTTGGTCATGGAATCCGTTTTGTAAAAATGAAAACCACAGGAAATCATTTGGAAATGAAATGAACAGTTTCAACTGCCTTAAACATATGTTGGAAGTAAAGAATATATTATATTTTTGCACAACTTGGGTCAAGTAAAATGTTCAACAGCGCTGTTTCTTGTAGCTTACATCAACCATTTTGTGAAAGCACACAATTCCGAGATCATCATCAGGAGGGATTTCTTTTTTTTTTCTAGAGACTGTTCGAGTGATTGAGATGCTCGGAATTTGAAGTAAGACCACCCAATTAAATGTAAATTCAGAAGTAAAATAGTTTGATCATTTTGAGCATCATGAGCAGCATGTTTTATTCTTCAGTAACAACCTAATGACATCTCCATATGAAATATGCCTTCATTTCTCGGATTTTGGCTTATTTTTCATTCAAGGCAGGCCATTTTTTTTGGCACTTGGTGAGTTGACACTAAATGGAGGTTTTGCTGGAGAACACTCTTTTATTCTTTCTCCAGAAAAACTGAGGGGAGGACCATGCGGTTCATCAGCGTGGATTCCGACGCATTCCCGCAAAACACCTTCACGAGTGAATTCAGACGGATCGACTTGGTCAACTCGAGCATTAAAACGTGGCAAACAGGAGCCATCGGTCCAGGAGCAAACGTTTCAACGCTGCACTTGGACTCAACCTCTGTCGGAGTGTGGGAACGAGACGGGATCGATACCCAGGCCACCTTGGAAAACCTGGATTTCCAGCGTGCGGCAATCGACACGATGGAGACGGAAGCCATTCGCATCTCTTCATCGCCAGTCCGCGATGTCACCATTTTCGGATGCACTTTCCGGATCCTCAATTCGCGGTCTTTCGCATTCCAGGCCCTCCGGCGACTTCGGTTCACGAATAATACCATGACGGGTTCCGTGAGCACGCACTACATCGAAGCCCATCTAACCGGCCCGGAGATGATCTTCAGGAACAACCGCTTCGCCAAACTCCAACAACACGCATTCAAAGGGATCACGTCTTCGAATTCCACGACTCTTCGTTTCCTCGGCAACACTCTCACAGCTTGCGACGAGGAATGCCTGAGTTTCAGTCCAACCGTGGCCGTGAACGCATCCGAAACCAAGTTCAACACGAGTTGCGACGGAGGCACGCTGAAATTCGACATGATCTCCTTCGCCCCCGAACTCGCGAAAGACATTTGGGCGACGGGGAAGTGTTTCAAAGATAACGAATTCGTGTCCCTGGTTGAACACTGCGCCCCGGAACCCGAACCGAAACCCGAGAATACGTCCTTCGTGACCTACGTGATACCCATCATCACGACCTCGTCCGTACTCGCGGTCATTTTCGCGGGTGCTGTGGCGGGTTACGTGTGTTGCGGTGGCAGGCAACGATTCGGACGAGGCCCTGCCCGAAGAACCCGATCGGGAGTTGTTTTGACCGACAGTTGGAACTTCGGACCGACGGACTCGTGTCAGTCATCCAACACGGAAGTGGATCGGTCGTCAACCAAGTCAGAAATCTCCACCTATCCCAGGTACGTGTTTCCGGTGACGACGGAAATTCGAGCGTACCCGGCCTCAGCAGCAGTGGAGAATACTTCGGTGCCGACGGAACGGATTAGTGCTTATGAACCCAGGGTTGAGATTTATGGTGTTCCCGAATCTGAATATGCCAATGCGGCCCCACCTTTACCACCACTGAACCCTACAATGCGACGGATGGATACCTTCCCCAGCAACTATTCAAGATAATTCGAGAAATGATCCGCGCTCAGCATAGTCGGCAACCAATCGCCGGAGGTCGAAATAATTTCATCATCATGGGTCTGATTTGTGCCTATAAACCTCATTTATTCGGGTATTTAGCGCATATGTTCCCCCAGCAGTGGTCAGTCATGTCTTAAAAATGAACTGTACTGTGTGTGATGAAAAACCAATTTCAGGTACAAAACCGCGCATTTTATGACTTTATCCAGTTAACTTGCAGCAGAGTGTGTCAACCCAATTGGTGTGCTGGTCCACAGAAACTTTTTGCTCGTCGGCAGGATTTTCTCTTCAGCATAAAAATTGTATCAAAAGTACCAATGAAGTCTGTTATCCTTCATCTGAAATTTTGGAAAGATAATGGCAGTTTCAATTATTGGAGTGAAAAATAAAATTTTAATTTTCTTTATAATAATCACACTTTGGAAAAATTTCCCCCTGTTGTAATATATTATAACTTTTTTTGTTCTGAGAAACCTTTCTTCAAGCCCACCTGTTTAATTTTTCAAAGACATTGCACTATATAGCTGCTTCCTTGATTCTCAATTTTTGAAAAAAGCAAAAACTTTTAAAATGCCTGCTATGAAGTCTTTCAAATAAAAAAATTTATTCTACAACTTTTTTTGGGAAACTGGCTGGTCTGCTGGCTTGGAAAGGTTTGGGAACACTGGCTTATATAATTGAACCTTAATAAGTCTGACCTCCTATGAAATCTAATTTTTTTCAAGTCCATGTCTGAATTCCCATAGAATCAATACATTAAAAACCTCCCTAACTCAAAGTAATTTTCTCCAAAAACCTCTGTGAATCAAACTTTCTGAGGCCTTTTGGTTTATCATTTCCTTGAACTATGAAACAGAAAATCAATAGACAAATGATTTGATGCATCTTGGAAGGAAGTGTAAGACTATTACAGCAAATTCAACCCTGCCTCTGAGTTCAGCAAGGTGTACTCATTAAGAAGCAAGTTTAAGCCCAGAATATGCTCATTTACAATTTCCCGCAATTTATTTTACTTTTTCTTGCAAAAAATGTTTGTTTCCTTAACTGGAAACCTCCACAAATCAAAAACTCCCCAAGTCACATTTTTTCCTGGTCCCTATAAATTTGGTTTAGAGAGGTTTGACTGAAGAACCTTTGGGTTCAAATCAACAAGACATGGATGTCCCCAAAGAAGGGTAACAGAAATTGAAACTTTGGAGGGAATTATGAAAAAGATAAATGAGGACCCTGGCTTTTCTCCATCTGTTTACCCAAATCTCGAGTTGTTGGTGAAAATTTCAGCAAGGAAATTCACCTCTTTCAATATGTACCAGTCATTCTTGAATGAATGAACAGAACACTTTATTTGCCGCTTTTCAGCATTCACAATGTTCTATCAGGATTCCCACAACCAAACCCCCTTCCCACCCAATCCAAATCCACTCAATGACATTTTAATCACTTCAGAGCGGGAAAGCACAAATTGATAACAAAAAATAAAAGAAAATACGATACAACATGAAATACAACTGGACATCTGACATGTATGCATACACTCATTCATTCTTGAATGACTCAAGGAGTCAAGGGTTAAAGACTGAGGTTTATGAAATGATTTTTTGTGATTTTTTCATGTTTATCAAGGTTAACTGGCGATGAAATAGTATTCTTTTCATACAGAATAAAAAAAGCCTACATTGAATTTTCTTGAGCTTAAAAAACTCAGGGAAGCTATACAATTTGAAGAATCCCCGTACTGCACACTATTACTTTCGAAAATTCGACGTTGGCTTTTACCGCAATTCAACTCATCATCAGATGAAACTTTTTATTTGACAAGGCTGGTGTGGAGCAACTCATTCAATTTTCTCCTTTTCTTTCGGGAGAATGAATCTTGTATCTCAGCCGATACCAATGAGAGGATGAGGATGACAATTTAGCATATATGTGATTGTTGGCTCAGATGATATTGAACGATGCGATATTTTGTGACTATGAATGGTGATTTGCAACTGATTGAGAAGTGCATGGAACGTAATAAAATACGGGGAATGAAAGCGGAAGAATTGTATTTATTCCAATCCCAGCATACAATCCAAAACATATCCAAACTACTGCTGGAATGCGATTACATGAGATGACCTCTCAGCAAAAGGTTCATGGAAGAATCCTTTAATATTCTCTCGTGAACTTGCTTTCTACGTGTGGGACATCTGGAAAATTTGAAAAGTTTTGTACAACGGGCCCAAGGTTTACAAGCCATTTGGATTTTTTTAATATGGTTATTGAACAAACTTTTGGCTTCCAAGAAAGATGTTCAAATGTATAACCTGACAGAATTATGGCACTCCTTCTTGCAAAGTTCCTGGACCTTGCACAAGAGGTTTGGAAGAACTGAGATAAATCATTAGGTGGACAGGTTTGACTCAAAGACTTTGAAAATTTTTAATTTCTGATTTCTCCATCCTAAGTAACCCGGGGGAAAAGTCATTTTCACAGACTAATACTTTTTTTCAGCATCAGTCAAAAACTGCAACAAGTCTTTGGGTTGACCAAGACAACATTGCAAATTGAATTTAAAACTTATCCATTGAAAGCACAGCCAAAACACAGCTCTTGAGAACATACAGTGGACCCTCAGCTAACAAACTTGATTGGTTCCAGACGTAAGTTTGTTTACCAAAAAGTTTTAAAAAAATTGTATTTTCATGTAGACTTCAAATGCATTTAATGAATTCTGTTAACCCAACAGACAATTCAACCTTGAATATAAAACATGCAAAACCATTGATGATAATCAGAATAAGTTTTTTCGGCATCTTGTATGTCCCCAGAATGATTTTACAGCATTATGTAAAAGTAGCACTAATTAACCCTTGGACGGCAGCAGCCACCTTTCCATCGCAGGGCAAAGTTGGACTTTTTCCCCATGGGCCTGCATTATATTTTTGCACAAGGTTATGCAACCCCTGCCAGGTGGGGGAGGGCAAATTGGGATTTTATCTGGGGATAAAGAAATGCTGGGAAAGTCTTGAGTTGGACTTTTCTCCTATTGACCTCTAACCTGGGCTCCTGGCTGTCAAGCTTAAATTTAATCTTTGAATGGGGACGCATCACAAGGCCAGGGGAAAAAAGGAGCCTTGAAGTTTCCTTTTTTCATTTTCAGGTGAAATTAAAATGGTAGGATTTTCCCTGACTTTGCCCCGCACACACTGTTGGGGATTTTTTTTTTAATTCCACTCTTGAGTTTAACCAAAATCTGCAAAAAAAGTCTGACTTTGCTGCAGAAGGGTTAAAACAAAGATGAAAAAGCTTCACATCTGAAGGATACATGTCGAATCAAGTGAAATTTCTTTTTTGATGCTGCAAGTGAAGATCAAATAGACATTTCTAACAGTTGAACAACTGGAAAAACCAAGCACAGATAAGGAAATGATTCTGTCACAGAAAAGCATAGGAAGGATGTACCTGAAGCAAATTTTAAAACACAATATTCCATATAATAAAATGCCAGTAGAAAAGATTGTTCATAACAGTGCGTATAGCAGGGGTGCCCAAGATACGGCCCGCGGGCCAGATCTGTCCCGCGGAGGCTTTTCATCTGGCCTGTGGTGCCAGCATGGAAAATCTCCACAAAAAATTAAGACCCTCAAAAAGGAAAAATTTCAAAATTTTCAAGACATCTTATTCTGCCTGCAATTTTGATCAGGAATTTTATTAGGCTTCATAAATTCTGTTATGATTTGTTCTAACCAGAAAAAACAGTTTGCATTGCTTCATGATGTCAGTCATTCTGTTTTTCAGATTAAAGGACAGGGTTCTGCAATTTTGTAATTCAAATCCAACCCTAGCATTTTCTGTCATGTTTTTAATTCAATTGCATATCTTGATGAGGGAAAGATATACAGCAGCTTACTTTTTTTAATAGCATGAACAAAAGTAGACCATCATGTAAAAATGCAAATGTGAAGGGATATGGATAAATTTAGAAAGACAATTCAACAGCACTGGGCCAATTGAGATGGAAAATTTGAGTCAGGGTCAAGGTGAGACAGGGCCAATTTGAGACAGAGGGCCAATTTGAGCCAGGGTGATTTAGTGACAGGGCCACTTATTGGAGGCATGGACATTTAGATACAAAGACAATTTGATGCTCCCCCAAAGCAACTCTGCACAAAATATGTTTCTTTCTTATACACTTATTTTCTGGTTTTCTCCAGATTCTTAGTGAATCTTAAGGAGTTTTCAATTGCACTAAAATTTCAGGTTGTCCTCAGACAACCTGATTATTATTATTCTCAACATTTAAATTCAATCATAATTTTCAGTTACTGCTTTTGGACTTTGGTTGAATCTTTTTGATACGTTTTGCAGATTGATCCTATGATTCCATTAAGAAAAATCCAGTCATAAAGTAATGAAGATGCCAGTTGAACTGTAACAGTAAAAATGGAGCAGAAAAGTTTGTAGATGAAAAAAGTCAGATAGCCAGATAATGAAAATCTTGAAATACTTATTGAACTTGATTATAGACTAGAACTTGATTACTTATAAATTAGAATAGTTTAAAGTTAAACCATCCCAGAAATTCATGAATCATACAATACACTGGACAACATTTGTTCATTTTTTCAATTGTGGCCCGCATGATGCTCTTCTACTTCAATGTGGCCCTTGGCCACTTCTGAGTTGGGCACCACTGGTATAGATGGATCATCTTCAATTGGATTGTATCATGAAGTTCAGCCTCAAAATCATATTTTGAATCCACAGATTTTGGATTTTTCTCCATCAAAAAAGTTTATCGACTCAATTTTGGTGTTTTAACGGAGGGTACACTATATGTCAATTTATATGCATGTTTTATTTCATTCACTACAACAACCGCTTGGCTGAATTCTTGGCTTTCTTCTGGGTAAACTATTTATCCTGATTTGCATGCAGACATTTGCCATGCAGTCAAAACAGTGCAAGAAGAAGATAATTGTTGTGGATCGGGAGAATCAATACGTGAAATACTTGATGAGCTTGGCTCAAGGACTGGGAATTCTAGGTGGATTTCCGGTTGAAGAAATTTTTGTTTTCAATTTTGTCCCAAAAAAATTAATTGTAAACCAAAGACAAGATATAAACAATCAGCAAAACCTCTCAGCAAGTCTTCTCAGAGACAACCAATTTCTGAAACAGAGCAAGAGATACAGATGCTAATTTGATGCAAAAATAGGGTTTTATTACTTTCTTGTCTTGTACTTGATCCAGTACTTTGTTCAAGGATAGGACAATTTCGTGAGGCCAGGGATTGCCCAAGAAGTTGAAGATTTCACAGCACTGAAAGAAGCATGCATATTTTGTGGAGGTTAAATATTTTTTGATCTCCTTGGTCCATTTTTCAATACAATTGCTCAGTTTCTCATCCTTATTAATTTATGAATTGATCAACTTACAATGCACACTGTAGAACCCTAACACATGCATCCAATCTAATTAATTTTGTTGCTGACAGTCCCTGAAAGGTTCATTTGTGCAACAGTCCTTGCAACTGTGGGTGCATGAACTTTATTGCTATCCTCAATGATGAATTGAGCTACAGCAGCTCCTGTTTCTCCAACACTGATGGGAGTCACTTCTGCACCAGCAACTCCAGATGCCCATTTTTATCCAGTGCTCCAGTTGAGGGGCATAGCAACCTTATCCATCTCCTCCTCAGCAATGAAAACCTCATTTGCCCACCATGCTTCACACATCCCCAATGCTTGCTCAAATGTGGCTCCTTGAACATGCAGTCTTTGCCAGTCCCAAGTTGAACATGGCCCACTTGGCAGCACTCAAATATCCTTTGGCACCAACACAAATTGAGAACATTATTTAAAAAAAACATGTTTTCTGCATTTGACTGCATTTTGAAGCCTTTGTCTCCATGTTAATACTGTACTGCTTTTCTCCTTGCTGTTGCCTTCAGTAACACTCAGTTCTCCCATCTGCCTTCCTTGGCAGAATAATGCATTATTACAGTGGCACTTACCTGAGCACCCAAAGCTTCCTGAACTATGCAATGGGCAATGCTATCAACTGTACAGTATTTAATTTTCATTAATTTCATGTTCCTGCCTAAGAATGTTCACCTTTTATTTATTTGCATTTTGAAATGTACCAATGGTCATCTCTTTTCCCCAGCAATGTGAGCATAAGCATATCAACTGTACAGTATTTAATTTTCATTAATTTCATGTTCCTGCCTAAGAATGTTCACCTTTTATTTATTTGCATTTTGAAATGTACCAATGGTCATCTCTTTTCCCCAGCAATGTGAGCATAAGCCCAACATCACTCCAAGACACTGCCCGAGTGGGGAGCTATTCTTTGTGTGACCCCATGACTGCTGGTGCACACTGGGTCACAACTGGTGTACATGGGCTATTCTGGGCAGGTTACAAGCATGCACCTCTGTTGATGAAATTTTGCTACCATTCCAGGGCTACATTTGGCGCATAAATGTGACATAACAGGAGTATCACAAAAATGTACCAACTGTAACCTTGGTGTAACTTATTTATTACAAATGTGACCATGAGTAACCCTGGTATGAACATACAATTGGTGCACATTAGGGATATACATGTGCCACAGAAAAACGTTGGTACACTTCAGGTGCACAGCAGGGTCACTGTGTAGAAATACAGACACATCCACAGTGTGCACCAATTTCCAAACGGGTGTCCTGCCATGCCAGCAGACTTCAACCTTGCCTGATGCACTGAGCAAGCACATGTACATCCCAACAGACAATAATTGTGTAGGTATGAACACCAAACGTACAATATACTGTATTTTATATAACAACTGCAAGCAGCTCTCAGAGTATTGAAAAATGTTGTCAAAAGTTGTGGTTATGAGGGCAGGTGGTTTTGTGGAGAAATTGAGTTGTGTGTTCTACTTACATTATTTTCCCTCCTGTTCTTCGTAATGGGTGTGGTTGTGCAGTAAGAAAAAAAAGGAGCTGATTGCCACCCCTATCCCAAGTAAACTTTGTGCACCCAATATCCCTCACAATCCACGCCCATTACGC